GGGAAGGGAGAAAACTAATATCTCCTAATACATGCTAGTAATCACTTGTCAGGTATGCACACAGGGCAAGCAGAGTTCAGTATCTGTCAGCGCAGGCTGTAATAACTGTATCTCTAAAGGCTGAAAGCCATGCGACTTGAAAACATGAGATTTACATAAGTAGTGAAGGCGTCTGTAGAAGGATGTTTTACTGTAACTGTAGTGAAATACACCCTCTTGTGGCAAGAAGGAAAAATTCCAAGCAGAAACCCGTATGACCTCCTTTTTCTTTTTTTTTCTTTTTTTTTTTTTTTAAGGTTTGCCTTACTACTTCTTCTTTTGTCTTTCCCTTGTGTCCATTGAATATTCCTCCCTGGTATGCACCACATGTGCTTTCCTACAGTTTTCTCTTGTTTCATCTTTCTGTTTGTGCTGCACCTGAATCTATTCCGTTTGTCTTGCAAACTCTAAAACTTCACTCTGTCTGTCTCAATCTGGTTTTATCAGTATTGGGATTGTATTTAAACTCTTGGCTTTAAAGTGCCTTTTCTTATTAAGTTGCAACATATTGAAACTACACCTTACAGACTAACTTTAAAACATTTACAGGAGTAAAAGGCTGGAAAAATAAATAACGATGTTGAAGAAGATACTAGTTTTGTTTCTTAAATAGCTTAGTTTGTCTGAACTGCTATGAAGGGGTCATGTATAGATGGGATTAGGAGATAACATGCTGCTTTTCCCAGCTGTTTGATTAACCAGCTTAAAGATGGGTCAAAGGCAGTAACAGAGTATAAAGTAGGCACAACATCACCTTCTAAGTGTAGAAAAGGCCCTGCAGCGTGTTTGCAGTTTATCAGATTTGCTGCATAATAAGCTGTACACTCCATTCAGCACTATAATTAACCCAGGAAAGCACTCCAGTTCAGTCTTTGCTGATAGCATGAACCTCACAAAGGCAAGCAGTCTCAGCAAAATACCCCTAAATAAGATTAAGCAGAGCAAATCAACCATGAAATAAAATGTAGGGTAAGTGTCGAGCAAATGCTATTTGTTTCTTGCATTTAGTACCTTGTTCTGTACTTGGCATGAGGTGTCCAGGCATATAATGTGTGAATAGCTCTGGCAACTCTTAACAAGTGCCGACAGATGAGACCTTAATCAGATATCATCAATGTTTTCCCTGTGCAAAGGAAAATAACCAAGTGTTGTATGAAAACACTTGTAAATGTGTGTTGATGGCATTTTGTGCAACTCCTAAACAGTCGTGGGTCTCAGCCCATTGATGCCCAGCAGGATGGGGAATTAGATGTTGGTGGGTTCATCTGGAATGTGGTGGACAGAAATGGTGTCAGACTGGGTAATGCTGGGATATCAGTGGAAAGAAGAAGCAAAAAGACCTGGAGAAGGAAAAGCCAAGCCTGGTGGCAGGTTTCTAAAGTGACTGTTGCTAAATAACTTTGTCATACAGCAGACAAAAAAAATACGTCTTGTTTCATGGAGGACAGATAGAGTATGTTTAGACATACAGAGACCTGAAATCTAGTACCTGTTTGAAAAACAGATCTCATTATTCATTCTTTCACTTTTCAGGTATCTTGCAATATCTTCAGAACTCTCCCACCTAGTGACAGCAATGAATTTGATCCAGAAGAAGATGAGCCCACCTTGGAGGCATCGTGGCCACATTTACAGGTTTTTGATCATTTATCTCAGAAGAAATGCTTATTGTTGCTTAATTTATGTAATAATTTTCTCAGATATTTTCTAACCTGTAAGTCAGAACTAGTCTGAGAGACACTGATGTTTGTTAATATTGTTCATGACTATAATATAGTACCTACGAAGATGGGAGAGTACTTTGTGAAGTTTGCAAAATGTTGAAGCTTTCTTTCAAAATTGTATTGTTGGTGTCCTTCATATTCCTGTTTTTCTTCATTGATTTAAAAATTATTTTGCTTTCTAAGCTTCTCTGATGCAGCAACTTCAGCAAGCATCATGGGGGTGATACTGCGAGCAGTTTTGATTTACTGAAGGTAGTTAATTTTCATACAAAAGTACACAGGTGTTGCCAGCTGATCAGAAAAATGAATGAGAATCTAAGTCCCTAAGTCTTCCTTCTTCTCCCTGGGTTGAAGTTTGCTTTCAGGTGTCTGTAGCAGACTACAAGCTCACTGCTGTGTATCATCTCTTCCTTTTTACCTCAAGTGCCAACATAAGGTATTTTGAACAAAGAACATAAACTGGTTTTGGGGAAAGCATCACTGACGCTGATGCAATAGATTCCTTTATAGAAAATACAGTTGCAGATCCTGCCTGTGTTAGTGAGAACAATGACTTACACTACTAGTAAATTTCGAAGAAGTTTGCCTGAGTAACAGTTTGTGGAATCTGGGATTTTCTGTGAGCAAAGGAGCATGATTGATCTCAGCTTGAATTGAGGACTTTATTTGACAGTTGCTTGCACAATCCAGGCCTGTGAGCAGTTTGTTTCACTCTTTTGTGGTCTCAAATTTAGAATTGGTTGAAATGTAGGTTTCATCCCTCATTTATATTTAAATTCCACAAAAATAAGAATCTTAAGCTCTGAACAGCTCTGCCTGGAAACAGCACAGGTGTACGTGTCCATTATGTTCATGGACACTAGTGCTGTAGTTTTTAAAGTCATTTTTTACATGGAAATGAAGGAATGTCTTAGCCAGTGAATGATTTGCCATTGTCAGGAAGAAATGCACCAAAGTATTTGTCAGGAGTTGATGGAATTGATTTCCTGATGATTTAATATTAGTTATGTAAGCTGTTGCTTTTTCCATATCATTTTTCTAAACCTCTCTGCTCCTTCTTGATTTCCTATTGTTTCCTTCTAGAAGTCAGAGAAGACTAACACAAAGCAGGAGCAGAGTATTCCAGCAAATAGGTGTTTGCATGAAAAAGTTTAAAATTATTTTAAAATGTAATTTCTAGCTTCCTTTCTGCTTTCAGTATCCGTACGCGTATTCACTGAAGTCAGAAGGGAAAAGGTTTTCAGTGACTGCTCTTCTGAAAGGTTCAGCAAAGAGAAGTTCTAGCTGGTTGCTGATCTGATCGTTGATAGGTCAGAGTTGCTGTCTTATGAGGCCACAGCAGTCCCTGTTTCACTTCACTTCCCTTTTGCCTGGTTCTTAGGCTCCTCTTTTTCTCCAGTAAATGAAAAGTCTGCTGTCTCACTGAATAGTTTAGGCAGAGATGGAATTGCATGAAAATAAGCAGGCTTTTTCCAGCCCTGAGGCTAATCTTTACAGTAAGTTAGGAACTGCTGAATAAATTCCAGTTTGTATTCTTCTTCTGTGTTTCAAGTTGTAGTAGAATGCTACTCTAAGCAGTTTCTAATTTAATTTAAATATTTCCAACTGTTTCGCCAACTCTTTCAGAAGTGTAATGTCTGCATTTGATGTGACTTCATCAGTTCAGAGGGCAGTTTAAATGTGCTTTGCAATTACTCTAGGAAGCTTTACAAGATGATAACAAGCATTACAAGATGGCAGTGCCTGTTCTTGGTGATGAAATGTCTTTGAAAGGATTTAAATAAGCAAAACTAACTTTAAAAGCTCATGTGATTAATTATAACTCTAAGCTAGCAATTTAATAAAGGAGAAAAATCTTTTTTGTCTTTTTAACCTTTTGCTCTGTGGAAAAATAAATATTTTATTTTCTAGCAAAAGAATTTAAGGAAATACTCATAAAGAGTAATCAAGTCATAAATGAAACTTTTTTTTCTCTTTTGCAGCTTGTATATGAGTTTTTCATACGATTTTTGGAAAGCCAAGAATTTCAGCCCAGCGTTGCCAAAAAGTACATAGATCAGAAATTTGTATTGCAGGTAAGCTGATCTGTTTTCTTTAAGGCTTCATTTTTCTTTTGAAAGTAATTTTCTTTAAAAAGATTTTGGTTAAATTTGAAAGTGTAACTTTATTTGCAACAGAAAAAAGGCTAAACAAGCATATACAATGAAATATTTCAATCTATGAAGGTAGGTGAAATATGGGTGTGTGTTTATATGTCAGTCTCTGTTGCTATAGAAATATACAATAGTTGGTTTGGCTATAGTTTTGATACCTCAATCAAAATATTTGACTTACTGGTTATGAGAGGGAGCTGAAACAGTCACTGCTGAAAAATGAAAGGCTTACTGTCAAGTAGTCTAAAAATGCTGCTATCTAGAGAGACTACTTAAATGCCAGTTTTAATGTGTCTTAATATTGTTAAAATATTTCTGTTGGAAAGAGAAAATATTACTCCCTTCTATCTCTGTTGGAGAGCTGGCAACAGGGGCAGAAGTTCATTAACAAACCTATTCCCAGCACAGTACTGAAAACTGATGCTGTAGTGGTCAGGGAGGAAGTAAATCAGAAGGCCATAGAAAGTTCAAGCTCTATTGAAAACATGGAAGAAGAAGTAGCACCAATAATAAACAACATTGGCAAAGACTGGGTAGCTTTATTTTTGTAGTTTGCTTGCCATCGTTATGGTAAAATGGAAGAGATGGGCTCCATCACACATATTGGATCTTCCTCCTCCTTGTATACAAGCTAGGTTTCTTGTGTGCTTTGTTATTTCACTTGAAACTCGGTAGTTGGTCTTCTCTACTGAGGAATTTTCATCCAGGCTTTGTCAGATGCCAGAACAGAGATGGCTGAAGGAAGATGTTTTCTGGGATAAACCAGGAAAAGATGTTTTCTGGGATAAACCAGGAAACTCCACAGATAAGCTTTTGGGTATAGGCTTGTCTTGTGTTTTCTGTTGCTATTGTGAACTTTTGTATAACTGCAAAGTCAGAAAGAACTTGGTGTTTAATGCTGTCTGTAGGTTGCTCTTGAAATCAGGGAAATTTGGAAAGATTCCTACTTGGTTAGAAAAGGGAGATTCCTTGTAGGCTGAGGCTTGAATACAAGCCAAACGAGAAGTGGCAGGAGATACTCAGCATTTCTGAAGACTTTTCTCTCACTGCTTTGTCATGGAGCTTTTATTTTTCCCTGTAGTGCTCAGGCAATAAAAGTAGTGCTTTTACTGTCCTTGTATGTTATTTGTATGAAGAATACCTGAAAAATGTAGCTGAGAGAGCAATTTTTATCCTTAAAATTCAAAGATTCGAACATGGGACTTCAATTTCCTTCTTAATATCACAAGACCCTACAAAAGCAATGGGCTATACTTACGTTTTTATTTTATCCATCTTCTAAATGCAAGAGCATTTTTCATCTGGATAAAACCTCTGTGGTGCAGTTTCCTTTTTGTTCGTCTAAATATTGATTTGAACAAGGGGGTGCACCAGTCTGATCATCCAGTAGTACCTGATGGAGATGTAAGAATATGCATGGGGAGTAATCACTCTTGACAGGTTTTTCCAGGCTGATTTTATTTTCTTTAGGTATAGCAGCATTGCATTAGAAGTAATTCTTGTGTTCTGCTTCAAAATCTAGAGAAAATAATTCCTAGTTGCTCCTGCTACGTGCTGCTGAACTTGGTCGTGACTGATGGCATCTCACCCACGCCCTTTCAAGGCATTCAAACCTGTTATAATTTGGCACAGGAGAATGGGTCTAAACCAAGGATTTTTAATTATTTTTTTATTAATCCTATTAGTCTTTAATAAATCTGCTACAGAGTGGTACCTACTGAAAGAGGGAAATATGACACTTTGAAGCTTACGTATCAAAAGAATTCTAAGAATTCATAAATTCTTGACACATGGTTAGGTGATGCATTTTTATATATTGCTATGCACAGTGTGTCAATTTAAAATCCACATTTTGCTATAAAAAGTGCTGTTAAGCCTTATATATACATGCAAGTGGATATATTTCTGTGTATGTAAGTGTTTGTGTTTAGCCTGTAGGAACTGGGGTGTCCTTCCATTTCTTACTGTATTTGTTGTGTATCTAGAGTAATGCCTAAGAATCCCTGGCTACATATTACTTACGTAGGAAACCAGTTTGAGACTTAGGAACATTAAGCATGTTTGGTGTTTTATGACACTGACAACCCAAGTGTAACAGTCTGAAATCAGCTTTCTCTCTAAATTAATTCGTTTTTTTAACATTCAAGGGACTTTAATGAAGTGTTTCTTGGCAGTAAGAATGCGTATATGAAAAAATGATACAGTTGTTTTAATGGGCATTTTTCAAACTTGTTTGCTTGCTTTTTGCTTTTGTTTTTTGAATATGTGTTTCTGGCTTTCAGCTGTATGTTTTGATAAATTGCTGTACTTAACAGCGTAGCCGTTCATTTCTAAAGCCTGCTTATATAGAGTCTGAAATGGTTGGCAGTCGTTGCTAAGAGACATACTATTCAAATATATCCACAAGTGTCTGTGTTATGTAGGTTGCTATTTTGGAAAATTTATTTCCCTTTTCTATGTATGTTTAGTGTCAGAATAATCACTTAAATTATGTAAGTCTTGCAGCTTATCCATGAAAATAAGACTTTATTGTTGAAACCTGATAACAAATTCGACATATCAAAATTTATTTTTTTTTTTTTTAATGAGAGACTGAGTCTTAGTTCAGCAATGTTTCTACAGAGGATCTCTATAAAAGAGCTGGCAATATAAATATTTTGCTCCTAAAAGCAATCCAATAAGAAAATTAAAACCATAAGCGTTTCCAGCTGTTTGCTGTCTTTGGGTGAAAGTTGCTATTTGGGGAAGGATGAGGTGACTATTTATTTACTTAACTGTAGAACTAATGGAACAAAGCAATGTGTTTATAACCTCTGGAGGGCAGCTGACAAACCTCATAGTTTCCTTGTGAAATTCCCACCACAGATTCTTACTGCAAGGAAAAGATAGTGAGAGCTCATTACAAGCTACAGAAAAATCCAAAACAGAGAAGAAGAATCCGTACATCATTCCTAAACCTGGATGTTAGAAAGCAAAATCTCAGACAGCTTAAGAACTTGTCATTTTTCTTTTTCACCTCCTCAGAATGGTGTAGCAGTTTAACAGAGATCAGGCAGAATACATACAGTGACATATCTACTTAAAATAGGTATTTATAGTTTTATCTATGTGTGAATCCAAGATAATTTTATTTTCTACCATTCCTGTAATAATTTTCTGACAGCATCTTACACATTTGTAAGACCTTTTTGGCAAACTATCTTCATTTCTTTTTCAAAACAGGTACTGGTTGACACTTTCTTTTTCATGCAAGAGAGATACTGGTTGCTTACGATTTCTACCTTAAACTTCCCTATTTTCTGTGCATTTGTTGGGGAGTGTGGGGACTTTTTTGTGGTTTGGGGTTTAATTTTTTTGTTGTTGTTGTTGGTTTGGTTTTAAATAAAGTTTGCCTTCTAACTTACCCAAATGTCTGCCAGTATAGCCAATGTTGTGGTGTCAAAAAAAAGATGAAGGGGTAGGGGGAAGCTCATACTTTTGTGGTAAAGGATTCAAGGGGAATAGAACAAAGATCTGCAGGTGATCTTCCTGCTGCTCATTTCATGACTTAATCCTTACAGGCAACTTCAGGTGTCAGTGTTTTGGGATATCTTTTGTACAATACTTGGTCTTTTTTGACCAAGTACCACAGAATCATTTTGCTGTTTTAAAATCTTATTAAAGAGTTACTTAGTAAAGGTGGGTTTTCTGTTGTTGTTTTTTGGTTTGGGTTTTTTTTGTTGTTGTTGGTTTGTTGTTTTGTTGTTTGGTTTTTTTTTAACTGGATCTTGCAGTTACCATTTGCTTCAACCTGGAGGATTAATCCCCCCTGATGCTTTGGTTTGTGTCGACTGGTGCAGATCCTGCAACAGCAGATCCAGTGCTGGCATAGACTTCACTATTGAGTCTTGTCACAGCGTGAAGGCCATGAAATCACTAGGAAGGCTTAAGAGCTCGTAATAGAAGTTACAAGCAATTAGAAAAATGTGACCCTGATACAATGTTGGGGAAATAAATGAGAATCTTTTGGTTCTGCAGGGTGAAGGAATGAATGGTGGATGGTAAGAGGCAAACTGTCTTTATTTTGTAGATATGACACTATCTAAGAATTTATTTTATTTGTTCTTGGAGAGAAGAAAGGCAGCATTTTGGAGCCAGTTAATCAAGAGTTTATTAGTTGTCTGAAGATTTCCAAAGTCTTGTTATGTCAGAAGTAGAAATTAATAAACTGAGTTTTGTCTTACAACAGATTTTTTAGTACTGTTTCTGCAATTTGGGTAACATGGATGTAACATTCTTACATGCATGTACTCTCATGAATGTAACTTTTATATAGAAGTCTGTGTGTCATACTTGTCAAATGTCTACTGTTTCAGTTCTCTTTTTCCTTTAAACACAGCTGTTGGAGCTGTTTGACAGTGAAGATCCTCGAGAACGAGACTACCTAAAAACAGTCTTGCACAGAATTTATGGCAAGTTTCTGGGTCTTAGAGCATTTATCCGAAAACAGATTAATAATATTTTTCTACGGTAAGTTGTGGGAGAAGGTACTTTTTGGTTATGAATAACATTTTAGGAAACTGATACATTACTTATGTTTAACTTTTCTTTTTTTTAGATTTGTTTATGAAACTGAACACTTCAATGGCGTAGCTGAACTGTTGGAAATTTTAGGAAGGTAAAAGAATCTGTGTTTATTGTCTGTCTCAAACTTCTCTTCTGGACACATCAGAATAGTATCAGATTCTGAAGATTTACTATAAGCTCTGATTCTGAAAACAGATGTGCGCACATGCTCATCTTTAAGCCTGCGTGCAAATCTCTGTCACGTCTTTGCCAAGAGTATATAACTGGACGCAAGTTACAGACAAAAGTTTCAGATTGATTTTGTGTGTATATACATGTGCATTAAATTTTGGGTACTTCATCCTTTCATGCTGCAGAATTTTGTTTATTTGAGCACACTAGCAGTGTGAATATTTCAAGTAAATTGAATTCTGTTAAGTTAATTACTCAAGAACACCTTGCTTACATGAATTTACAGACCACATAGAAAAGGTCTTATCTGTTTGGCAACAGGTTTGTGCAGCTGTTTCTGTGATTATTCCTAAGTTGGAGCTGAACTGCTACCTAGATGTGTGCTGCAGTGCTAATATAAAGCAGGACAAAAGTTGCACCTGTTTACAAGTGGCTTGAGCCTGTGATTTGTTAACAGGTGCTGACTGCTAAATTATTTTAATCTAGAAAGTGCTTGTTCAGACCTCAAGAATGTTTTCTGTGGTGATAACACTAACAAATATTTCTCTTCTAATTTCTAGTATTATCAATGGTTTTGCTTTACCTCTTAAGGCAGAGCATAAACAGTTTCTGGTGAAGGTGCTGATTCCTTTACATACTGTCAGGAGTTTATCACTCTTCCATGCACAGGTAGAAATTATAAAAATATTTTCTGCTCAGTTAGAATAATTTTATTTTTAAGGTTGCTTTCACAGTTCAATTGTGTAGCACATAAAAGGTGGGGGGAGAGCTTTGAAATGTGGAAAAAAACTACAATAGATTTTTTTTTTAAATTAATGTGCTTTGTATGATCAATGTATGCCTTGTGTTCTGATTAGATAATTAAAAGTGTAACATACATCTGTCATACTCTGAGGCTTTTGTTTAGTAGTTGAACTCTTTCTGTAGGTTTTCCTCTCTGCTATTTTCTCATTCTCTCAAGTTTGCCTTTCCCATTACCTCTCCCAAGGGGATGTTTGGGTTTCCTTAGACTTGTGCTGTCAAGGTTGCTCTTCAAGCTGGGAACTTTCTGAACACTAATACCCACATTTTTGCACAATCTTTAACGTTCTCCCTCACAGATTTCTTAATACTGCATTTGTGCTCTCTTATGTCCTTATATACAGTCAGCTTTCATTATGTGATTTTTCATTTGATAAGTGATACCTGTTGCCTTTCTCTCTGATTTTCAGATAGTGCAGTCTTTCTTATGCTGATAAAGCTGTGCTTTCTAAATATGTTATTCCAGGTTTTAGCTGTGTCGGCTCATCTTGCAAGAGTTTTCATGATTTTGCCGATGTATAAAATGTGTAAAAAGACGCAGATTCAGAGAGTAACAGAAGCTTCAAAACATTGGTTGTATGACTGTATTTAGAATTCCAGCTTACTCTGATTTTTATTGTATGTGCTACTTTGTCACCCTTTTTTTTTTTTTTTGTAGTGTGTTCTGTTTTGTATGAACTGAACCTTGAGTGGATTTGCACAGGGCGAACTATGCATCTCAGTTTAAAATTAGATGCACTTTGAGAACATTGTATAGCATTTGGCATCGGGTCTCTCTTTAAAAAATTGTTTCTTTGTGGTTTCTTTATAGAAATGTTTTAACATTTTCTCAAATCTTTACCTCTTCACAGCTGGCGTATTGCATAGTACAGTTTCTGGAGAAAGACCCCTCACTCACAGAACCAGTAAATATTTATTTCATACTTATTCTTTTTGTATCATAAATGTCTTACCCTGTTGAGACAAGAGTGGAAAAATCTAACCTTTTTTTTTTCCTTCTAATTTAGGTCATCAGAGGTTTAATGAAATTCTGGCCAAAAACGTGCAGTCAGAAAGAGGTAAGCGATATGCTGGTATTACCAAAACATAAGAGTTAGTTTGCTCTAAAATATGATAGGGAGGGAATCTTTAGATATTTCCAGGTAGGTGGCACGTGCTGTGGTGGATCTTGGTATTAATTCTTGCAGGTGATTTTCCATACTTGAATTCTGGTTTTTTGCACTGTTTTGACTATCAGGAGAGAAGTTTCACAACTGTGGTTTCTATTCACAAAATAAGCACTGGTTCTTCTTTTGTTTTAGAAAGCAGAAAATAAACATAGTTGAGGGTAGATTGGAAAACTCGTTTACGTTTGGAATTGTTTATATGTGAGGATAGTATTTTTCCAGGGAGGATGAAAGATATTTTATTGGCTGGTTGGCGTTTACCTACTGAACATGTAAAAGATGAAGTTAGACCTTTGCATTTTTATTTACAATTCTTGATGCAAATCTGAGATTCCCTAGTGAGGTTATGTGACACAGCAAAACTGTTATTTTGAGTATTGCTTCCAAAAATGAGGTAAAATTAAGAGACTCTCATTAATTAACAAAGTTTAAGCCTTGGCCAAATTATTTGTCAGTATGAGACTAGGTTTTCAGCATGGATATACTGGTGCAGTTCTGAATTCTGTTGTAAAGGACTATTTTAAATACAGCATTAGCACACACTCGTCCTTCTTTTAAGAGCCTGAATCCCGAAGCTGTAACAGTAGAACTGATCATGTTTTTTGAGAGAGGGTCTTGCTGAGCTAGTGGGGCTTCCATTTCTCCCTGAAGTGGTAGAATTTGAGGGTATTCTGCTGATCAAGATGATTCAGAGGTTTTATATTCAATGCTTCCTTCCTTGTCTTTAGGTCATGTTCCTTGGAGAGCTGGAGGAAATCTTGGATGTAATTGAACCATCACAATTCGTCAAAATCCAGGAACCCTTGTTTAAACAAATTGCCAAGTGTGTCTCTAGCCCTCATTTTCAGGTCAGTGGTAAAAGTTATTGTTTGTATAGGAATGTATAGTCTCAATTGCAAACACACACACACACACACACACACCCCCCCAAATGTAAATATTATTTTATAGTCTGTGGTTTTAAACATTTGTCTTCTGGATTTCTGTGGAAGATGGTATGTTACAGTGGAAGTTTAGTTCTGAGCTCCACGAATAACTTGTTACGTGTATCTGGGGTTACAGCACAGAATTGGTACCTTCCCCACATTTAATATTTCTCCCCCCTTATTCAGCCCAGCTACTGGGCCTTTTCCTGTCTCCTTCCTCCGGTATCCCAGCACTGCTCTCTTCCTTCCAACTGCAGTCACAGGATGGAGGGAAAGGGGCCATGGGGAGTCTGTCTGCTCTCCCTTCCCCTCCACAGCTGCAGCATTAATGCAGTGTCTGCACCTGGGCTTCAGTGAGTAACAACATAATGCTCAGGGGAAAGAGAAAGTGGATGCTGTGGGATCTGAATTACAGGATAAAAACATAATTCCATTAATGCATGTTTTGCTACTGATTAGACTTTTAATTCCAAAGTTAATGATTTCTGTTAATTCATCTTAGTGAAATTTCTCTGTGATTTGTTTTTCCTCAAGAAAATTACAAAATTATAGGTATCTGAATTCCTGTTAATATTTTATTTCTTTGACTCAAAGGTGGCTGAAAGAGCGCTGTATTATTGGAATAATGAATACATCATGAGTTTGATAGAGGAGAATTCAAATGTTATACTTCCCATCATGTTTTCCAGCCTTTATAGGATTTCTAAAGAACACTGGAATCCGTAAGTTTTTGCCATTACCCTTTGTCTTACCATGTGAAGTACCACTGATAAACTTAGGGAATGTCTGCTGAAGAACGTGGATGGGAGAGATCCAAATTCAAAGCTGGCATGAGCAGGTGCAACTCCGTTAATGCCAGTATAAATTAGTCTATACTTGAGCTTGTCTCAAACTGCTTTTAATTATTTGGTATGTGTACAAAAATCAGTACCTTATGGGATAAAAATAGGCCTTCTTACAAGTTGGAAAAAAGAGAAATTAGATGTTACATTGTTATTGAAGAAAAAGTGTTGCTCATCAAGCATTTCTCCCACACAGTTTTTTATAAACTGGTTAACGTCATAAGCCTGATTGTAAATTGTCTAGAAGAATATCTCTTGGCATTAATAAAGCTTTATAGCTGTATCATGGATGATACTGATACTTTTGATGGACCTCTGGTACTAGCATTTTTGTAAACAGCTATGAAGCATATAGACATCAGTATATTCTTAGTTTTGTTTTTTTTCTAAATTTATTTAAATACAGCTGTTCTCTATTACACGTAGTAATAGAGCAGTTGCTTCATATTGGTATTCTGTTAATTCAGCATTTTTATTTTTAAACTGAATGACCTAGTAGAAAGTGTTCTAAAGAAAAATACTGTTACAGTTAGATGCCATGTGTTACATACTTTAGTTAAAAAGTTCTTCTGAGTCAAGGTGGTTACCATTTACTAAACACAGTATTTTTCAAGAGCTGTGCTTCATTCAGGTCCCACTTGCTTTAAGACTTTACTGTGAAGCATTTCTAAAACATTTGATCTTTTCAAACATTGGTCTTTGTTCTGTACCTAGCCAAACCCTCAAGTTTGTGTGCTTACATGACGAATCTAATGCTACTGGAAAGCTTCTGTAACTAACACTTGTCACAAAAAGACACTTTCCGTGGCATAGTAACTCATTACCAGTCTCTAAGCTGCCCATGCTCCTGCCCAAACTTTTATGCTGTGCACTGAGATTTTTTTAATTTAAGAGAACATTTTTTAAATTCAGGCAATAAAAATGAAAGTTTGAGGCTTTGAGCAACCTGGTCCAGTGGAAGGTGTCCCAGCCCATGGCAGGGGGTTGGGACTAGATGATCTTTGAGGTCTCTTCCAACAAAAACCATTCTATGATTCTGTATATAATACATATAATTTTTTTTACATGTATATATACCCACACACACAGTTTTACACTGATACTGCAGCACTCATCTGAAGGTTTTGTGGGCTTAAGAATTTTTTGCAGTACCAAAGTGAAAATGAATATGAAATATATCGAGTACAAAGAAGTCACTCTTGAAATACAGCCTTGTATTTTGCATGGATGCACTCAATATTCCATTTCATAGAAGAATCACAAGGAAATATGAATCATTCCCATTTCATGTTCAAATTCTATTCCTTCTGCCAGCATTGATGATTTGAATCCCTGGAGTTGCATTGAGAATTGCTCCACAGCATGAAGGACGAGTCTGTAGTTATATGTAATAGCTTTCTGTTGTTACCTTTTACCCTAGAGTTTTGGTCTGCTCCATTTAAGTAGTCAGTAGAGACATGAAAGCTGATTCTCACCTTTAAATATGTTAATCAAAAGTAGTTTTCACTGCAATCAAAGAATTTACATTATCATACTCGCAAGAGCAGAATTGGTCTCAGAAATGCTGGTAAGCGAAGACACTTTTATTTCACGTTTGATTTCACCTGAAACTAATAGACTCCTTTCTTTTTTCTTTTTTAATGTTTCACAGGGCTATTGTGGCTTTAGTCTACAATGTGTTGAAGGCATTTATGGAAATGAACAGCGCCATGTTTGACGAGCTGACATCCACTTACAAGTCAGATCGTCAGCGGTAACTTTTTAAAGCTTTTTTTGTCAGCTGTGCATAAGGCCCGCTGTTTAGTTTTTCCCTTACACTCAGATGCAGTTGCAACCTCACACATAATAGGCACAATGCCTCATTTTCCCCCATATGCTCTTTAGCCTTCTCTTTGCAAGATGTAAGATAATATCATGTACAGATTGTTCTTTGCAGCCTTAACAAATACGGTACCCGTTGCGTTGCTTGGGAATCTGCATTCCTCATGGAATTCCTTTTGACACCTCATTCCAAAAGCCTTTAATGTACTAAGATCTTCAATAATAAAAGAAGAACAAGGGTTTAAAGATAACACCTTACTTAAATATTTTAAAAAAGTCTCACTGAGTTTTGGAAAGAGACATGAGGGAAAATCCCAAGATTTGATTTTCCAAACTGCTGTTCTTAGGCTAGGTGTGATCTTACAGCAAAGCAGCATCTCTTAATCCTCTCATTGCTTATTCAGAGGTCTTGCTGTACCTGAGTGTGTTAGCATGCAGGATCCATTAGATACACCATTCATAAAATTGTTAGTTCCACCCTAGTAAAATGCTTTTTGTCCTTTCTCCTATTTTCCTTAATCTTAATTTTCCGAGTATAGTGCGGCATCTTTTCTTAAAAGTTTCAACTTATCCAAAGCATCGGGTGGCAAAGAAAAAAAAAGAGGAAACTTCAGGAACTCTGAGTAGTTTGCAACTTCATTTAAGTCATACCTTTTCCATGACTCAGGGTTCCCCCAAGCAAAGCAAAGGGTGCTGTATTTCATCAGCCCTTGTTAGGTTAGTGCAGTATCTGCAGTGCGACTGAAGTCACGCTGTCCTTTGGTTCTGCTTCGTTGTTGTAAAATGCAAAGTTTTATGCACAAAAAAATCTAGAATTAGCAGGTTAGTTCATTAATGCAGCATTTTACTTTTAGAGACTTGGATCTGTGTTTGAGCTAAGATGCTCAATGAATTCTAGCTAGGTCCTGGTAACTAAGGCTCAGTCTGGTAGGGCAGCTGAGACAACACTGCCTGGGTTTCTAGTGGGGAAGGCAAAGAATTTTAGGACTAATCCAAGCATTCACTGAGATTGTGCTTTGCCCCTTAAGATGAGGAACTCTGCTCTTAATGGGACCAGACACTGTAGTAGTATGTCCCATGTCTGGAAAACGGCTGAGGTTTATTGACTGAACTGCACAAAGAATTTTTCTTGCACCTCCTGATGCTGTGTCTCCTATCAAGGCTGGTGCTAACCATTTCACCGTTTTTATTTACTGCTTATCATTTTAAAACATGTAAATACCTGAATGTATAAACTGAGGTATTTACTTCAATGTTTACAGAAAATCTTTAGGATCTTAATAAAACTGCATTTCAAAAGGGTAGCTTTGGTATCACTTAAAGCTTGAAGAGAAATGTGTTCAATATTAATAACTATGATAGGTCAAATAGGTAAATTGGATGAGGTGATCATCCTCTAACAGTCTTTTATGTAAGCAGGCATATATTTCATAATGATTAGAAGATAAATGTCTGGTAAGTAGCCTGGAAATGTCAGGCTATTTCAGTTATATTTAATTTTAAATACTTTCTAGTGACAGTGAGTGCTTTTTTTTTAAAAAAAAAAAAAATACCAACTTTTCTTCAGGAATTTATCTGAAAGTTGTATTTTTTTAAATGTTTAAAATACTCTTGGGAAATAAAAATTTCAAATAAATGATCCAGAAGTTGATACTTTGACCAAATCAAGATAATGTAGGAATGTTTCTAGTCTGCTGAAATCTTTTTCAATAATGCTGTAATGTGATTGACAGAGAATCTGTATCTGTATAATTGTTGGATTTCCATTTCATCTGAACTACAAGGTGATGTAATAGAAATTGAAAGCATTTTGTACCTTGCAGTATCAAGGAGATTTATTCAGAGTAAGCTAGGGCAGAGACAGGAAATTTAGAAAGCAAATAGTGCAGGTAAAGTAGATGTTAGGCTAGCTGTTGAGTTTTATCAAATCAGCCATTAAAGTCTGTTGTTAAAGCAACCACTACATAGACCTTGTAGAAATCTAGTGAGGAGAAAGAGTAAATCATTGAACAAAAGACACATCATATAGCTTGAACTTTCTTTTGGCTGGTACCTGAGATATATGAAAGCCAGCGGTCAGTGTAAGTAAGAACAGCAATTCTAAAATAATAAGGGATTGCTTGTTCTAGAAAGTCGCTGTTATTTAAGCAAGCTATTTTTTAATCTTATACATAATTTTATAATCATGATATATTTGTTCCATAATAAAAGTCCACTGCATTTTTTTCTTATGCAATACAAAGTAGTGTCTATGAACACTGTCACTTTGTTCAGCTTAAGTTTTATGTTCTTTTCATACTGCTTTATTTAGTGATATTTATGTAGGTCAAAAAAAAGAAAAAAAGGGCAAAAGAAAAATAAAAATATCTTAAAAAAATAAATATATGTTGGGAAAATTGCAGTTGTGTTCAACAAAATGCTGCTAATTAATGTCAGCTATATATTTTTAAACACAAATATTCTAGAGTCCTCTCCTGATAACTCTTTGTTTTATTTCATCTGTCAGTGAGAAGAAGAAAGAGAAAGAGCGTGAAGAACTGTGGAAAAAACTGGAGGATTTGGAATTAAAGAGAGGTCTTAGACGTGATGGAATAATTCCAACTTAACAAAAAAACAAAACAACGTTATTAACCTGTGGAGTCACACATTTATGTAGTAGAAGATGGAGCAACAGTTTTCTGTATTGTGCAACTTTACAGTAGATTTCACATTTGTTTCATTATTACAACAGCACTGTATATACCTGTCTCTAAATAAAGGAAAAAAAATAAGGACTTTAATCCAAAGTTTGGACAGCAGATGGACTTCTCAGAACTTTGCAAACATAATCATTGTTTTAACCCTTCTTTAAAACCAGTCTTCAAAGATCTGTTGATGAAAATTGCGATGTCAAATTCCATTGTCAGGACCTGTTCCTTATTTATCATTAGCAGAGAGTATATTACAACTTTCAAATGTGAACAATCTTAAAATTTAGCTTGTCTTTCTGCTAAACTGTTAAGTGTATTTATAGTAAAAGAGAAGAAAGACTGTCATTTCCTTATGAGTTTGTGTAACATCCTCCTTCTCTGGATAACTTTACTGTAATTTGACTTTTTTTCCTTTTGCACATCTTCATAAGTTGAATGTCCATTCAGATCAGGGCCTTGAAAAACGTGGGTCCTGAATAAAAGTTTTGTTTACTGGTGTGAGCATTTTTTTTAGTACCAGGCTGTATCTGGTGCTTCCTTAATTTGAACATTAGGAGTTAAAAAACAAGTAGGTGATAAACATAGTAGGAAAGGGAGCTTTGGATTCATGCCCCTATTTATTGCAAATCCAAATTAGTGTCCACAATCCTTTAAAAATGGGCAGCGGTAACACCCGGGAGTTCAGTACCTAACCAGTATTAGTGACACGGCATTGGACACACATACTGGCGTTGGTTTAGGAATACTAATTGCTAAATTATTACAGTATGTTTTTATTGGACCATTTTGAAAGAATAAAGACAAACGCTAAACAGTGCAAGCATGAAATTGGTCTCCAGTGGCCATAGATCTAATTGGAAATTGAGTTGAGGTAGCAGTTTGGACTGTTTGGAGTTGTTGCCTTACTTTTTAATACGTATTTATAAAGTGTTCCAGCAAAAGAGGATGTAGCCTCTAAGAAACATACTCTAGTGTTTTTGTGGTTCTAGTACTATTACTCATCACAGTACCAGCCCTATGGTCTTAGCTGGAAAGGATTCTGGATAATACACTTCTGCATTCTCATCTGGATGCTCATTCCTAACTACTGTATTTGTTACCAAAAGTGGTTCTACAAATGCTACTGAAAAAAATTCTGGAAATCCTAATGTTCTGAGTATTAATAATAAAGTTTAAAATGCTTTTATATCAAAGGTGCATTGTGACCAAATTGTTTAAAACAAAAGAAAAAAAAACACAAAAAAAACAAAAACAAAGAAGAGGGCTGTATTATAAGTATACATTATTGGCTATCTGCTTCGTATTTGAAAGTGGAATCTTACATCTTTGGTAGGTAAAATGCTGATAAGACTTATGTACAGTATATATTTAGCTAATGCAGTTGCATTATTATATACCGAAAGGTATGTGTTTCGGGATTTTTCTCCAGGATGCTTTTGAACTGTTATAGACATATGACAACAGTGAATTGATAATCCTAAACCATCAATCCAGCAGTATTTACAGTATAAAACTGAATTGGTGTTCATGAGTCTTTGTGATAGTTGCAAACATGAATTTATGACCTGTTGCCATTGATAGAAATACAGTATAAATACAAGCTTGTAATTTTTCTTCCTGCCATTTAACTATACAGTAGAATTTGAAGTTTTCATGTTTTCAGGCATGGAGAAGAGGTAAAAACGAATTCCCTCCTAGACTACTGACTGTTTCAGGATTATCAGGTCACAGTTTGTACTCCTGGGTCTGCGCACACAGATGTTGTAAACTCAACGACTTTGTAAAAACTTGACACTGTTAATTCTGGAAAAAAAAGTGGAACTAGTCATATGCAACACCAAACACAATATGGTTTAATGGGATTAATATGAGCTTCTTTTAAGAACACTGACTGGGACGCAATGTAAATTAGGCAGTTACTGTCATAGTTGAAACATTTTATTTTAAAGTGCTGAAACAAAGGTGCAAGCTGAAATACTGAAGATTAAATAAATTTATAACAAATCATATCCCTTAGCCCATCGATTTTGACAGTCTTTTATTTCTGTTACCAAAAAAATATTTGCTAGTGTGATTTCTGTGTGAAATGATCATGCTTTAAAAGAGGGTGGACTTAAACTCATGCTTAAAAGATTCTATGTTCAATTCTGAAAAACTGAGATAAGAATGCAGGAAAAAAAAATTAATGTTTTCCACCTGGTGGAGTAAAACACAACGATGTGAAATTAGAAAAAGCACCTTGTCCTGTACTTAGAGTTTAGGGGAGTGTTGTTTGTTCATAACTATTTTTGGTTTTGACATGACGTTCTGGTATTGATCATACAAAACTGATGAGAACCTGATGGGTTGCAATATTTTGTTACCTCTGATGTTACCTCTGATGTGGGGATAGTGGGGAGTATCTAAAGTTTATAGATGATTTATCACTTCCGAGAAGGAATGTTTCTTTAAAGTGAATGAGACAATGTGATATTAGTCACTTGACTCTAAAAGGCTGGTATGACGCTAGGTTGCACTGTGCGATGTACGTGAAGAAGCACTTGCCACAATGATACGACCGTAGCCCCGGGATCCACTGTTTGCCGCAATCCAAAAGCGATGTCCTGCTGCTCTGCAGAGCTCCCGCTGGTATCAGTTGGAGCTGTAGGCAAAGAAGAAGGCAGCGCATGGGCCCAAGTGTGATCAGTGCATCTGTCTAATTATGCTTTTGTTTGCTTCTTGTGTTCCAGAAACTACCTTTATTTGTGTAAATGTTTTGTTAACTGCTCGTACAGCAGTTGTTGGGTGGTCGCTCGTGTCCTGTACCATATTGGTTTCAGAAGAAAAAATTAAGTGCTCTCTGGCAAAAGGAAAGAGCTGCATTTTCAATACTAGGGCATTGCATCAGGTCATGGGGATATAACAACTGTAAAAGTAAAGTTCCTCTCAAACTTTAAATCGAGCACACGTTGCTTTCTTCATCTTGCAAGTCTCCCTTATTGTTTTCCTTTCATTGCTTTTGAGTGCTTTTTGTCTCTCTTCCAAAGGTTGGAATGCTTTAAAGTATTCTAATACCATTGGAGCATTCACTAGCAGGGTTACAGTAAATTTAATCCTGGTTTAGTTAGCATAAATAAAAGGATTTAATTTATTTTTCTAATCTCTTCCTATGTATGGAAAAATCAAGGGTGTTAGAGCCAAGAATTGCTTGAGTAAGAAATGCAGCAGCTGTACTTACATTATACGTGCGTAAGTACAGCCTCAGGCTCTCTCACTCTATTGAAAGGAAAATATATTAGGAACTTTAAAAGTCTCTTCATTGTTTTGTGAGGAGGGGGGAAAGACTAGATTCTTCTCCCCCCGAGTAAAACTGAAATAATTTGCTTTTAGTTCTATCTTGGAAAACAAAGATGGCCTTTCTCTTCGTTGTCTAACAATACCATCCCAAAGCAGTTGCCCTAAAACAAGACAAAGGTGACAATGCTCAAGATTGAAGCATGTTTTTATTTACATGTGGCTTTTTTATTTTGGCTCACCTGCTTCTCTTAGCAGCTACGGCGTGAGCCACGGATTAGTTTTTCTAGATGTTATGTGCAGCAGGTTTTGTATTGCCCCGTTTTTTCATTTTGAAGTCTATAAAATAGTATCTTGAAACAGAATGGAACTAATTTTGATTGAAAACTTTGTTATCAGAGTGTTGCTTCCCATCCACAGAAGCACACACTTTTTATCATGACCTCTCTGAATACAAGTTTTTGTTATTTGGATTACTTACTGTAAATATGTTGTATTCATAGCCTCATGTAACGATGAGGGGTTTTCAAATATAAATAGTACCAATACATTTCTTGTTGTTGTCCTATTTTTGATTGTAGTATAGCGAATGACCTGTCATGCTTTTTGTTTCAAGGTTAGCATTAGATCCATAGATCGTAATATTTTAGCATTTCATTGTTTAAGCAGGAGAGGGCAGCAGCAGTTCGTTTTTCCCCATAGGAATGCTCTGGTCCATTACTGTTTTTAAACTTAGATGCATTTAACTCTCTGTGGGTAGGGGGGAAAAATGAAACATTTTTTTATATATATTAAAAGGTGCATATGAAAATATATAGACTGGTCCAACCAGACAGTGAAAATGTCTTCTACTCTACATTGAAGTAATAATAAAAGAAAAATAGCTTCCACCTCTGGATAAAGTACAAGCAGGTCTTAAGCTCTTGGATTCAAATGTCATTCTTTGGAAACAGTTTACTTTCTTAAAAATGGTATCAAAGAAACTCTAACTCAATGGTGCTCCCAGCTATAAATGTGTAATCTTCCTCTTTTGCACATGCTCAAGAGGCTCTGTACTGTGGGTGCATCTAAATAAAGAAGCAATGAAGTGTTTTCCAGGTGCTTGGCTTTTTTTTCCACCTCCTCCCGTTGCAACTTCATGTACCTTCTCGACAGTGACCCTCCATGTGTTCAATGTCAGGATACTTGTCTAAGAAAAACACACCCAAACAGTGAGGTGGTATTTTAAGTTTCTGCTAGAATTACCATAGTAAATGCTTAGTTTTCATTAAGTTTATTTTTTTTAAAGGTCCTCTTACGATGATGAGCATCCTTGTACTGCACACAGCCACGCCTGTGAGGGAGGTAAAGAGCAGTCGATACAGACGAGGCATTAGATCCACACAGTGGTTTTTATAAACCCTTTGAGCCTTACGCCTTGTGAAGGAACTTGTTCTTTTATAGCATCGTTCTACTGTTTCAGTGCGCATGCTACTCTGCCATGCAGTTTGGAAGCAAAGAGAAAGGCTTAAGGTGGTCACGTACATGGGAAAAACGCTGTGGAGGGAGCCACGGATAGAGCCTGGTAAGGGGCAGTGCTGGTGAATGGCTTTAGCAGAAGCACAGTGGATATAGATGCTGCAATAAAACTAGAGACAAGATGTAGTAAACATCAGATTTAAAATGTCCAGTTTCCTAGGTGAATTATTCTAGTAACCTAATACCTAAAAATTCTTTCCATTTTTATTTTTTCCAAAATAAATTTTCAGCAGTTGGATCTTGCATGCTTTTGTTAGAAGAGCTTGTTATCACAAATCTCTTCAAATACTTGTAAGACAACATTCAGATCTTTTAACAACCTCGCATCTCTTTACTTTCTTATTGTAAGGCAAGTATTTTCCACAGAATTAAAAAAAGAAAACAAAAACTTAGTAAGTTGGCTTTCAGGTTAGGTTTTATCTTCAGTATTTGCAAGTTACAAAACAACCTTTAAAGGACTTCAATTAAAAAGTTAATTTCCTCCTTTTTGTAGTGATAGCTGCTTTGCTAATTTCTCATCTTTTGTCTTTCCTTCTCAGGGATGTTTTGGTTTCTGGTGTAATAGCAGAGTGCCTAGTTTATCTTACATTAAGTTTGGACCCTGGATCACAAGTCTGTAGCCTACAAAAGCAGTTCTGTGTGCAGGTAAAGGCTGTTCCCAAGTCTGTATAGCTTGGGTATTGAAACTGATAACAAGGTCTTGCATTGTGAGTTCAGAGCTATCTATAGTTTTACAGATTAAATGCTGAAGCCAAAGGAAATATCCCGAATTTGTTAGCAAATACCTTGAAAGGAATTGTACTAACCCAGTGTGAGTAGTGACATCATATGAAAAAAGGTTATATTAAAACTTTATCTTTTACTATTTTTCTGATGGTTTTTTTTTTTTTTTTTTAATTATTATTCATTTTGTCTAGTCAGGACTTCAAATCACTGAAGGTGCAAGAGGTTAGGAATCACTCAGGAAGGATGGAACACTTCGGACACATTTAAAGAAATATTTTGCATTGCTGGGCAGTGGCTCCTACCTTTGATGCACAAGATGTCTGGGAACTTGTCCTGTGTTATTGCTGAATCTGGGGAGGTCTTCCAAAAATGAGAATGGGATATTCTATACAGCTGCTGAATCTTGTTGTCAAAATTCTTACTTTGTCACTATCTGGGACGAGTTTTTGCTTGTGTACAAAGCCTCTGCGCTTCACCAGCAGAGAAGGCAGCAACCCACGAGGCAGGATTCACGGAGCACGTGCCAGGGGAGTGTTGCGCTGAGGACACGTGTGCCACCGGCCAGCCAGAGCGGGATGGAGCTCCAGCGTAACTGGCCTGACAGCGAGGAAGGGAAGGCGTTGTGTTTGTACAAGGATGCGTGCAGACCTCCAGCAACGAAAGGCAGAGGTTACCT